CCACAAACAGGCTTTGGTGTTATTTGTGTGAAATGTTTTGGGCCCAACAAAGGCCTGGTCTGCTCTCCCAGTGAAGGCCGAGATGTCCACCTGCAATTTATTCATCTCATTATTATTTGGAAGAGCCGAAGAGGGCTGTCGTTTTGTGTATCTTGCGGTTAGGGGTGTGCAATTGCAACGGTCCATTCCGGATCAAACTCATGAGAACTGCTGTCCATTATTGGAAGACATCTAAGGATCAAGAACTTGACCATCATTGCATTCGGTCCATTTGGTCTGGTTCCATCCGGTCCAAACTTCGATTTGGTACGGTGCGATGCGGTCTAGGACCGGACCATTGCACACACCCCTACTTGCAGTACATTGAACATCAGCTAATTGGGAACCGAACCTAACAAGAAGTTGCCGGGTGAAGGAGCCAAATACTAACATGATCAGTCAACCGAAGCAGTATAACTAATGTCAAAATGAGTGGTTAGATATTCAAAATACAAATATTTGAGGGGTTTGGAGGTGAAGATACTCAAGCCTGAAAGCTCCTCACCCATCATTTGTCTGTTATGCAAAGATGTTTGTGAGTACTATTTTATTTGCCCTTTGCCAAAGATGGTTGTGAGTTAATTACATCACAGAACACATCCCTTCTTCTCTGTCATTCTAAGTTTGCAGTGAATCAATGGAAGAAGTGAACTTAATATGTTTGATGTGCTTTTACTCATAAATAGCAGGTCACAGGGAAATGTTCATACCTACGGTTTTCTTGCAAGTTCTATAGTTGTTGCCTCAACATTGCTGCCTTTCTTTGCCTTAACTAGCGAGTTCAAAGCACAAATTTCTCAACAGGAGCTTTGGCCAAGAAATGAATTGGCCTCACACAAAGACTACTCCTCCCATTGCATTAATAGTTCATTGAGACATCAGAGGTATCTACTCATGTATCACAACAACACAAAGACTACTCCTCCCATTCTATTAATAGTTCATTGAGACATCAGAGGTATCTACTCATGTATCACAACAAGGTGGCAGCGTAGGTGAACTTGCAAAGGTTGATGCTTCTAAATTCTAATGGCATTGAAGATGAGAAGCAAAACCATGATGAGTCATCTGCTACAACTCCAAAGCCCAATATGAAGAGAAAGAAGCAAATGATCTCACATGATGATTATTAGAGAATTTCAATTGTCTAAAAGACTGTAGAAGGCTTTTATCTTGCAGGTGTGTCCCTGTTTATTTAGTACTGCATCTCCTGGACGGCTTTGTTTGTTTTCCTAAACCAATAATCAAAACTACTATCATTGAACAACTGATGAACAAGCTCGAAAAAAGCTCAGAATACACTAGTTATTAAAAACAAAATTTCAAAATACAGCAGTTTGATCATCACCGCTATATACCAAGACAGTGAATCTCATCACTGCTGCAAACAAAAACGGTGAACTATCACCGCATTCGTTTAAAACGGTGAACCCTTCTCCGCTTTTGTCAAAAACGGTGAGACACTGACCGTTGATGACAAAAATGGTGAAGTGGCGTGGATCGCTGACATGGACACGTGCGGGCACTTCACCGTTAATGACAAAAGCAGTTATAGCCCAGTTGTCCATGTCATCGATCCTTGTCGTCGTCAGATGCGGTGAGGCGCGGATTATGGTTTTTCTCTCAGATCCGACGCCTCAAACCAAGCCACGTCAGCGATCCACGCACTTCATCGCCTTCGAGAATTGCGGGTTTGTTTCACCGTCGTGGACCAGAGCGGGGAATGCTTTGTGGTCCTCACTATAAATACCACTCCAACCCCCCCCCCCCCCCCCCCCATTCCAACCCACACCACCACTTTTATACTTCTTTCTCCCTCCATTACTTCCCTCTAGTCTCGTTCTAAGTATTCTCTATGGTTGCGGCTAAGTCCGATCTTCCACATCAGAAAGAATTACTAGAGTTTTTATTTTGTTTTCAATCCTTTGCTCTAAAGTTTCGTCGATACTCTCTCCAGCTTTTCAGCAAAAAATGGACGAAGAGGCTCTAGAGTACGAAAAAAAAATTCACCTTTTTTTATATTTTTTAAAATGTGTTTGAAATATTCTAATTTCATTTCATATTTGTTTATAGATGGGTGTTGAGATATACGACCCTCGTTTGTATATCAATCATGGCCCAAGGGATCGCAAATATCACTACAAAAAAGACTGTCATTAGTGACCATACGTTTTGTCAGTAAAAGCCAAATTTTGTCACAAATGCGCATTTGCGACGCCATGAAGTCGTCGCGTGTCGTTCCAAATACGAGCGTCACAAAAAAAAACTTCATGACGAGTCGTCGTAAAAGCTCTTCTGTGACGACTATGAGTCATCTCTAATGCTATACGAATTTGACGAAATTGGCAGATTGTTTTTCTAATGGCAAGTAATCATCTCAACAATTTCTAATCTCGTCTATGAAACCTTCTCATTGACGAAACCGACGTCAGTTTTAGTTTTTTGATGACACATAGTCGTCTCAGTAAGTAATAAGGTCATCGGTAATGTATTTTCAAATTGACAAAGTTGACCATATCATTTTTAGAACGTTACATGGATGTCTCTTTGTCAGTAATACATTTTTACATTGACGAAACCGACGACATTGTCATTTTCGACGAAAGAATGTCGTCTCTATATTTAATTTAGTCATCGATAAAGCATTTAAAATTCTACAAAGCAGACGATATTATAACTTTTTGACAAAACATGGTCGTTTGTATAAGTAGTAATGTAATCGGTAATGCATGAATACTTCTAATATACGAATACATTATCCATGAAAAACATAAATACATCCGAGTACATGGACAAATCCACTAAAAAGACTATTCTAGAAATAGGTTATTTAGATGATCCTCCAGCAACACGCTGGTGGCATGACTATCGGTGACTGACCACGACCAGATCTCCTACAAGTTGTTGTCTTCTCCTTTTCCTTTCTGTGACAAAATAATAAAACCACCACAAACAAAAAGCTGAATTAAAACTCATAAATCACGAAACGCACTACAAACGCATAAACCCTAAAAACTTGCCAAAAAATAACCCTCGTTGGTGGGTTGGTTCCCTTGTCGTCAGCCAAATCCAGAGTTTTCGGCGACCTCTCTTTTCTCTCGTCTGAAATTAGGACCCATAAAAAGAAATAAAAAACAACAATAATCAAAATTTAAAGAAAGCAAAAACAAGAATAATCAAAATTGAATGCAAAGAAAATAAAATGCAAGAAAAGAAGTTTACATGTTATGCTTTCCGGTCGGGTTCTAGTGGACGGCAATCGGAGAAAGGGAAGAGAAAACATGGGTTCGTTTTCTTTTTCTCCGTCGATACTCATTACAGAAAAGACAACAATAGTCAATTAAGAGAAGGCAGAAGGAGGAGGGGTGATTTCATGTTTTAATTTTTTACCTCCTCGTCGTTAGGTTTCAGAGGGAAGAAGGAAGGTGAAAGGAGAAAAGAGAGGACGAGAGGAGAGTGGAGAGTGGAGAGCGGCTAGGGTTCCATCCCTCCATCTCTTCTTTATATATGCAAAAACATAAATATATGATTGCATTTTTTCTTCTTGCAAAAATGAAATAAGTTTAATCCATTAATTGTTTCTAATTCTCGGAAAGTATCTGACAAAGAATTAACTAAGTTATTAGATGTGCCTAAAATTATTTGTGTGACGACTTATATTTGTTTCCAAAGGTTACTAGATATGCCTTCATATGTGGCATTTGTATTTGCGTCTAAAAGCTAATATATTTGGCTCTATATCTAGGAGTTGTATGTATTATAGCCGCAAATAGGATAATTGCCTCTAAAACTATTATTTTAACTGAACTAAATAATTTTTTTATATAAAAATGAAATAGAAACAAATCATAAAACATACCGAGACAAATAATTTATCTGCCCTTAAAGATTAGATTTAGAGACTAATAAAATCATTTCTTCTAATTATTTGTCTCTAAATTCAAGTTTTTTTGTAGTGTTACTTCCTATAACAAATTGTGAAAGTTTCAAAAGTCTCACATTGATAGTTCTTATCCATAAACTATGCCTACGCAATGCAAATTAAAATTGAAGGCATAAAAGTATATCTTATCTTTGTAGGAGCTTTCACCAAGGTGCCAAGTTTTCCCTATAAAGAGTAGAATTAGTAACAAGGGTTTTGGTCTTTACTGACAACGTATAGACTGTGTCAGAATTATATTCTGTTGACGAAACATTATTGACGAAAGTGGCATATCGTTCCTAAAAGTGATTTTTTAACAATGATATTGACATGCGCTCGCTAATATTTGTCACTAATGGAATTCTTTACTCACGACGTCTAGTCTACGTCATAAATATATGTTTTGACCTAACGTTACTGACGAACATAAGTTATTCGTATAAAATAACCAAGGCGCCAACTTTTCCCTCCAAAAATTAGAGGTAGTGATCAAGGATCTTGTCTTTTACAGACGACGTTTAGGTTTCGACGCAAATAGATAAATCATTGAAGAAATATTATTGACGAAAATGAAATATCATCCCTAAAAGTAATTGTTAGCGACGAAATCGACCACCATCACTAATTTTGTCACTATAGGAAGTTTTTACCGACAATGTCCATGTTTTATCGCAAACACAATGTTTTGACGAAACATTACTGACGACCATATTTTATTTGTAGCAAATAACCATGGCGCCAACTTTTCCCTCCAAAAAATAGAGTTAGTGATGAAGGCTTTTGTCTTTACCGACGACGTTTAGGTTTTGTCACAAATAGATAAATCATTGACAAGACATTATTGACGAAAGTGGAATATCGTCACTAAAAGTAATTTTTAGCGAAGAAATTGACCCGTCATCGCTAATTTTTGTCACTAATGGCAGTCTTTTTTGTAGTGTATTTAAACGAGCAAGAACAACATCGCACCCGTGCAATTTGGGACAATAATCCGGTAGACACACTGTACCGTATAAATTTTTAAATTATTTCAATAGGTTAAAAGTTTTTGTTTTTTTTTTCTAACAACATTGTATTTTTTGTTTTGTTTTGTAGGAATCACTTATTCCCATCAATCATCGAGGGACAATGTCGATTGCCTAATTGGCATCCTCGTCTCGAGCCCTATCTAGAGAGGACGGGATTGCACATGCTGAGGCATTTCATGCGGCTTAATATCGACAACGATCTGCTTACGGCAATGGCAGAGCGATGGTGCCCCGAGTTGGATACCTTCCACTTTCCCGAGGGGGAAATGACGATCACCCTCAAAGATGTTGTCATCCTCACCGGGCTGCCGGTCACTGGAGAGGCCATCATCGGGCAACTCAAGTAAACCCGAAGGTGGATGGAGGTCGTTGATTCTCGAGCGTTTGGGTTTCAATATGCCGACAACAACGCCCGTTCAAGGGGTTGGGCATCCACCGCTCAATGCGGGGCAAGTTTCAATCCCGTGGCTTGTCGAACACATCCAACAGGAGGTTAATTTAGGGCCAGACACCCCTGAAGATCAGGTGGAGCGATATGCACGCGTCTACCTCATTGGATTGGTTGGTGGATTTGTGTTCCCCGACAAGGCAAACCGGTGGATTCAAGGCATGTGGTTGCCGTTGCTCCTCGATGATTAGGACGAGATCGGGGGAAATAGTTGGGGGTCTGGGATCTACCGAGAGTTGTGTACTTGCTCGAGGTTGGGAGCGAAACAAGCTGGAGGTGCGATGTTCATACTCCAACTCTGGGCATGTCATCGTATACCCTCTGGTGCCTGCTCCGCCTTGACCTTCTTTTCGTGATGATGCGCCCATTGTGCCCCCAGCTGAGCCCCCACGGAGGAGTAAGAAAAAAGCTCAGCCAAACATTGAAAAACTTCGTCCGACTCAGCAAACACAACTTCCTGGCCCATGGCCAGATCATGAGTGGTCAATTACAATGGAGGGCGCTCCAGGATCGTCAAGCTATGCCCCGCAACAGGAATATGACATGTTTCCTCAAGGGTTCCCTCATTTCCACCATCATCAACATACCTCGATTTATTAGACACCGCCTCCTCAGCCCACATCTTCTGCCTACTACCACTCTTCTGGTCCATCTCAGACATCTGTGCCTCCACCGCCTACCTATACTTCGGTCGGACGTTGGGTTAAGAGGAATCCGCGAGCAGTTGGGTTAAGAGGAATCCGCGAAGAAGGAGGAGGCAGAGAAGGCGGAAGAAGGGGTCGAGGTCACCGTGGAGGATGAGGACAAGGGAGAGAAAATGAAGAAAACGAGTGAACTATCCATTTGATCTTTGTTTATTTATGTCTTGTGTGTTTTCATTAAACTATCCATGTCGTCTTATTCTCTATTGTGTGTTTTCATTAAACTACCATTGTCAAGTTATGTCATGTGCTCTATTGTGTGTTTTCATTAAACTACCATGGTTAGTTATGTCATGTTTTTTTTTCGTTACACTATCCATGTCGTGTACAAATAAATGTTGTACCAAGTCAAAGCATAAATCCATCATCATTACAATCACTCAACAAGATTAATCCTAGAACTCCAACTTAAACACCATTACAACTAAATGACAATAACATACAAAAACCTCAGGTTTGGTTCTGATTTGTGCCTGAATCTTGCTCGATAGGTGGACTTGGGCAACGCCTCTTATCATGTCCCGGTTGTCAGCATTTTGAGCAACGCTTAGGACCTCGCCTAGCACGTTGTGATTGATCCATCTCATTGTGAATCCTTTCGGTTCTAGGACGACCCTTGATGTGCTTTAAGTGCAACGGTGGGATTATCAACTTCCCATTGTCTACATGCCAATAAGCTTCATCTGGCAGGGGGTGAAATTGCACGAGTACGAGTTCTTGATTGCTTGTTCGGTGAAATAAGGACTCACCAAACTGTAAGGGTTGAGGGTTATTGACTTAGATACTGCCATTGCATGTGAACACGGGATTCTTGTGTTTTGATACTTTTGGCATGTACACTCATCGGTGCGAATTTCTATGTGTGGAGTAACAGATTGACGATTGTGCCCACGTCTACCTCCTCTCCAGATACCTATTTGAACACAAAAACACCTTCATTGCGGTTGAAAAGAACAACTCTGTGCTTACTTGATTTGTCTTCCTTCTTCTGTATGTCCTGAAAGACATGAAGTGCTATTGCATGACCAGCACGCTCCCTCCCTATAGCTTGCTGAAGTCGCTTCACAAACCACTCGTTTACCTTCCAGTACGTCATTTCCACTAGGACAGATACAGGCATTGCCCTAACGCCCTTGTAGACTCCATTTATGCTCTCGCCATGGTTGGTAGTTGCAATGTCGAATCTAGCCCCGTTATCCATGTGGAATGTCCACATGTGCAGATCTTGACCTTCTGCCCATACTGCACCAGCCCGGTGTATCTGACGGATCGCCTTCATCTTCTGCTCGTATTTCTTTGGTTGATGTGCAACCACTTCAAGATCACAGAATAAATAATTAAGACATGAGAAATTTCATATGAAAAGTAAACCATGAACAAGCACAGAATTACATTAGTACCTACACTCTATAATTGATCTCTTATGTCTTTCTTCTTCCCATATTTGTGCTGGAAATTTGCAAGAAAGTGTCGAATACACCAGCGCCATGTCCACCCCCATTCGTCGGGAAAACCATTCACGACGTGCTTAATCCCGTCACGTCGATCAGATATAATTGTAATACTCATTCTTTGTGTGACTTGGTGGTGTAGCATGTCAAAGAACCATGCCCAACTTAAGTTGTTCTCCCCTTCAACTAATGCAAACGCCAGGGGGAAAATACTTAAATTTCCATCAACGCTAGTGGCAATGAGACGAGTTCCTTTATACTTCCCAGTAAGGAAAGTTCCATCAACATGTTAAAATTATTTATAGTTAGTATAAATATTACTTAGTAAAAAAAAAGAAACACAACAACACTGTTTAGACCGTAATATACCTGGATAACTGGCATGCAGAAAACAAAACCATCAATGCATGGCTTGAAGGTCCAGAACAGACGATGAAACATCAACTCGTTCTGTACTCGAACTTGATCCTCGGTGTATACATTGTTGTAACAGGGCACGAAAATATTCCCAGGGTTGGACTCCTCCATTGCGGCCATTAATCTAGGGAGTAAAGCATACGAGTCGTCCCAATCACCATAGACCTCAGCCACTGCCTTCTGCTTCCCATGCCACGCCTTCTTATACTTGATCGTGTAGGAGTGTCGATCCTTCACCTCGGCCATGATAGCTTTGATTTTAATAATTGGTTGTGCCTCGATCAAGTGCTTAATGGTTCTTGCCACTTTCTTTGCTTTCAGTTGCCGGTGATCCTGGGACAGTATGTTTGAGGAGCAGCTGTGGTTGTTCTATGTTGTCCAAATGACCCAGGCACCCTTTCTCTTCATATTTGCAGCCTGCAGTTGCCACAAACAACCCTCTCCAGCATTTTTGCAAATGACATGTAGTTGTTTAGTGTCAGAATATTTTACCTTCCATTCGAAATTGCGTCGCATGGCTTCTTTGATAAAAGCATCTTGAACATCGACTTTCAAAGTGAACGCCATACCCACCTCCAAATTGGCAGTCGGATTATACACAGGCATAGGGCGAAAGTCAGGGGATCATTCTGACTATATAAAAATTGAGATGGAACCTCTGTGTAGTAAGGCATTGGTGCCTCCCGGAATGCCACCTCGCTATCCTCGATATCGTCCGTATCTTTCATCCTCACTGACTGATCTCAAATCTTCCTCACTTTCCTCGTCGTTGGAGGCGAATGGATAGCTCGGCTCAGGAGGATCATCGTTACCAACATAACCAACCTCATCTTCTTGGCCATGTGAAGTACGCCCAGTTCGAAGGTGGTTCTCAATGTCAGCCCACTCTGGCCCCCAAGCAGGCCATTGATCACTGTCGGGATCAACGAATGGGGCAGTCTCAGCATTTTGCGAGTCTTCTTCCCACCCAACACCTCCTGCATAACTACCTCCTCCGTAGTTGCTTGGACCTCCACCCCAGTCGTAGCCTCCTACAGAACTACCTCCTCCAATGTTGCTTGAACTACCACCCCAGTCGTACCCTCCTGCAAAACCATCATCACAAGAATATTGGTTATAATGAGTTTAACCGACCGGCTCGGTCTCGACATACACTTCTGCAAGCCGCATCCCATTGTCAGATAGGAACTGTATCATCATGTTGACCGCATCATTTATGACAAATTCTTCGTACATAACTCCGCCAGCACTCACGTTTGGATACCGGTAAGTAATTTGACCAACTCTCCTTTGCTCGTCCATACAAGTCCTTTCTGCACAAATGTCACGTAGTTCTTGCCACGTGAATCTCGACTCAATTTTTAGCATACTGGATTCACCATTTTCATAGTCGATCCCAAAGTCCGAGTTTGTCACCCGACCATTCCACCGAATAATAAGCTGAAACTTCTTAAATTTACCCATGTCTACAAATTACAATAAGTAACTATTAGCTTAACTCGAATAAGATTACTATAGTATAATTAGTACATTAGGGATAGAAAAATAATATCATCCTTTCTCATCTTTGCCCCTCCGCACATTTCCCTTCAGGTCTTTCCCCTCTATTTGCCTTGCACAATCTCTCCTCCCCTCCTGCTGGTGAACGGAAAGAGAGTGGGAATCAATGATTGAACTCTCGGCAACAGCTCAGCAGGCAGAGGAAGAGAACGAATTCGGAACTCTAGCCCGGAGCAAAGCATTAAACCAGCACCCGCCTCTCTCGCCCGCCGGCTTGCTCTGCATTCCCGCTGGCAAACCGAAACAGAGCAACACACGTGATTTATCCAGTGGTCAATCACCTGCTTTGCTTCGTTTCGACCATTGGACTACGGGAACGGATCATGTCAGTAACCTTATGATAAGTAACCATGAGTAACCAGCCCACATCAGCATCCCTCTCTCTCCTAAAAAGCATTTAATTTTTCCCTCCTTAATCTTTGACGGACGATTTCTGACTCGTTTTAAGTCCATTTGTTTTGCACCGTTAGATTAGATTAATTGTGCTCTTCAAAATGATATCCACTTTGATATACTTTTCGAACAAAAAAAATTGAGCCATGTTTTACCAGTCTATACCATATGATATTGACTGGTATTGAAATAAGAGCATACCTATGGTTTGAAAAACGTACCATGGTGGTATGAACAAACCAAGACTATAGGATGGTTGAATACATGATAGTAGAAGTATATTAACTGTCATTTACGACTTTTATCATTGTGTACCACAAGATACCACCTCGTATCAGGGTGGTATTGTATGGTATTGTGTGGTATTTTTTGGTCATGTAATTTGTCCACACAGAAATTTTTAGATCCAATAGATCATGATGAAATCTTCCCTTCTGTGCAAACGATTTCAAAAACGAATTAAAAACGAAAAAAATACCATATGGTATACAGTTGGTACCGAGAGGCCAAATTTTTTTTTTCCTAAAAAAATATTGAAAATTGATCTCATTTTGTAGAGCATGATGAACTCGTTCCATCTGTGCAAAAAAAATTAAAATCCGAGTTAAAACGAAAAAGATATGAGCCGATTAAGAAAGCTAGGAAAAATAAAAAAGGGTCTTTAATTCTCCATCCTTAGATCTGAATTTTCTAAATAAAGGGTTCAGATTTGGTTATTGATGGGTGCATAACCCATGGTTATGCACCCTATCTTGAGCCTTGGACTACCGCACGCTTCGCTGCGTTGAGGCGAGACGCCAACAACTTTTTTTTTGCGTTTTGACAAGTGGTCAAACGCATGTTGCGCAGCGTTTAGTCCAGTGGTTAATACAATGTTGCGTTTCATACAGTGGTAAAACAAAACGCGCTACGTTCCGACCATAGGTTTAAAGCATGATTCGCTGCGTTTTGACCAGTGGTTAAAATGATTCTTTGCTGCGTTTCAGTCAATGGGAAATAGATTGTTTGTCGGGCGATGAACGTGGAACAACAGAACGAGCCGGTCTTACCTTTCCGGTCGTCTTCTTCGGCGAAAAGGAGAGCGGCGGCGCCATCCGGCGACTAGTAACTTATCTTCCCGGTCGATGATGGGGCTAGGTTGTGAGCCAGAGGCGGGAGGGAAGGTTCCGAGCATGGTGGCAGTTCAGACGACCCACTGTGTTGTCATCGACGACGGTCGGTGAAGGTGGGTCGGCGGGAGGAAGGTAATTTCAGGCTAAGGTTTCCAACGGAAATCAGCACGGCGGGAGGAAGTTAATATGGGTGGGGTTTGTTTGCTGATTTGGTTTAAATTTTTATATTGAACATAACACTAAATATATATTAGATTTAGGACGACAAATAGTAAAATTAGAACGACAAATAGCAATTAAAAAAAAAATGTTACCTCCGGAGATACCTAGGACAAAATAAAAAATGTTGCCGCGCGCAGCTAAAATTGTTATTTATTTATTTATTTATTTATTATGGTGGTGGAATGTTATAATATTTATTATGGCAGGACGTAATGAATTCGTAAACTAAATGAAAGCAGGCCACACGTTCCGGCCACACTCCACGTTTGTGTTCACAGCTGTGAGCCTGTGACTGCGTCTGCGAGGAAGAGAAAGAGAGAGAGAGCGCTGCCCTCCTGGCTCCTGACCTGACCCCTTTTCTCACCAAATCCGCGTTTTGGCCTTTGCGGTTTCAGCCTTTCAAGTTCCCTTCCTTTCCATTTGGCCGCAAGTCGATAGCCCAAGTTTCAGATGAATTTTACTTGCAGGGGAAGAGTAAGTCAGAGTATTGGAACCAATATTTTATCATATTGGTTGGTCGGATTATGATTTGTAAATAGCAAATACTGAATTCTAAATAGTAACAATCTAAGCGGAGTGCAAAATAATTGGACCACAATTTTAAAGCTACATACAACCAAGTAAAAAACCTATCTCGTACCAAATTACACTCTACAACTTAAGTGGAATACAACATATCTTACCACTAACTCCACGACACAAGATCTCTTCGAGGGATTTCCACGAACACATTCCTGGCCTTCGCCAAATCACCAAACCTAGCAAACATATACACCGAAGCGTTCCCTATATACAATCAGACCCAAAACTCATCTCCACTGTCCGATCAAGGACAACTGCTGAAGCATTGAAACCGACGGGGGAAGTATAAAACCAGCCAACCAGGCCGGACCTCAAGCTCTTGCAAGCGGGAATAAAGCTCCCGAGCTTCAGAGGATAATCCATTCTAGCTAAGCGTTCTGATAACTGAATTACACTGATAGCCCGCTACTCGGACAGCATGAAGAGATCGGATCCTCCAACTCCCAGAAAAGAGGAAAGACTTCTCAAACTTTAATGGAATCAAACGCGAATGGATCTTTCGTAGCTTCTTCTGGATCTTGAAGGCTGGTCATACGATTAAACTCTAAATGATAGATAGACAGATAACACCCAATTTCCAATTGATCTCAAATAATTCGCAAGATATACCTCATGACTTTTACCACTCTTACAATCTCAGCAGCAACAACAAACCATTATCATAATCGAACCCATTAACTAATTAATTAAGAATATAAGCAAAAATATCTTAGTTTCTTCGTCATCATCACCAGCCGCTGGTCCAAACAATTTTCTGTTTTAGAAATCCTTGAGCAGCTTCCTAACCTGCTCAAGCGTCACAAAAAGCACCACGGTGAAGGGCCCCTGCCTCGAAATCGTAGGGATGAATCCCTTGTACAGGGCCATGGGTCCTTCCGCCCTCACCGTCTTAATCGCGCAGTCCAAAGCCCCGCTGTACGGCGCCGCCTTCCCCGCCTCCACGCTCATGTTCATAACCCTCGTCTTTATCACATCCACCGGATTCGACGCCACCGACGCCACGAACCCCGCCGCGAAGCTCGCCGTCACGTGGGTCCCCAGCCCGTCCCCCATCACGCCCTTCTCCAGAATCGACTCCTTTATCTGGTCGTACGACGCCAGCTGCGACGCCGTCACGATCATAGCCCGGTTCACCGTCAGCGACGACCCGCGCCACAGGCTGCCCACCCCTTCCTTCCTCGCCATCGACCCAATCGCGTCCACCACGCTCGTATAGTTCCGCCTCGCAGCGGCGGGGAGCCTCCCGTCCGCCTGCATCCTCACCATCGCCACGTCGGCGGGGTTCCCCACGGCGGCGCCGATTCCGCCGGCGATGAGCCCGGCCGTGATTTTCCTGACCAGCGGCATGTTCCCCGTCTCCGGGTTGGTCCACTTGGTCTTCAACACGTCGTAGAGGCCCATGCGGGTGGTGGAGTAGAGGGTCTGTCGGAGGACGGTGGCGGAGACGCCGGAGAACAGCGCCGCCGCTCCTTCATGGCGGAGGATGTTCAACCCGACGGCGACGGGACCCACGGACGGGCGTGGAGCGGCCGTCACGTGGATGGCGGAAATGGCACCGCCGTTGTTGAAAGCGAAGGCTGGGCGGAGGACAGGGTTGGGAGCAGCCAAGCTCTCACCCTGCAGCTGCATTCGGACCTTGATTAGATCCAGCGGGTGGGTCGAGCAGCCGGCGATGATGGAAGCGATTCCGCCCTCAACGAATCCCTTGACGCCCATTGCTACAAAGAATTTGGTGAAAAAAAATCTAAATTGCTCTACAAAAAAATTGGTAGGGAGAGGGAGCAAAAATGGATCTAAGGGAAAAAAATCGGAAATCAGAGAAGCCAGTTGGGGCTGAGGTCGCTGGAGACGAGGAAATGGGAATGCAAACTGAAAGCTATGGAGGAGGAGTGAGGCACGAAAGGTCTCTGAGACATATGCCAATGGGGGAATTTTTGTTGAACTGAGATGCTGTGATGGTGGGTTTATGGCGGAGTGGTGGAAGAGAATATATATAGTAGGCGAGAGGTAGGGGAAAAGGAAGGAATGGAGGAAGCGGAAGAGAGACGCGGTTCTATGGTGGTGGGTCTGGGTCTGGGTCCGGGTCGGGTCTAGGTCTGGGTCTGGGTCCGGGTCAAAATTTCCCCCTTCATATTTGCAGTCTTTTCTTTCCGAGTTCTGATTCGGTGCTCCTGAAGTATATGCGAGATTTTGGGAAGAGTCGCCGGCTGACCATTTCCTTAATTGAATTCAATTATTCTTGTTTAGGGATTTTCTTCATGCACTGAATTTTTTTAGTCTTCGGGAAATTAATTATGGTCCTGGGGTTGTGTTGTCTGGCTGGTTGGCGACTTCCCCAGCTGTTGGCAGCTTTAGGGCTGAAAATTTGCATGTCCCGTCCTTGTCTCGTCCCTGTCCCTGTCTGACCCGTCCCTGAAGGGTCAAGATGTATAATTGTCCCGTCCCGTCCCTGTCTCCTTCTTGACCCTGTCTGACCCTCAAGGGTTGGGACGGGACGGGACGGGTCAGTGGGTCGACCCTAATCAACACACTACTTTTTTACAAATTACGTTTTGGTACCCAAAATTATTATTTTCTTACAATTTAGTACCTAAAATTTATTTTTTTACAAATAAGTCCATAAATTTTGATGGTAAAATTACGTTTTGGTACCCAAATTTTTTTATTTTTACAAATTAGTACCTAAACTTTTAAAACTTTACAAAAAGGTCCAATGAAGTATGAGACATTTGTTGTTGCTAAGGGTCACAGGGTCAAAACGTGACCCGTCCCTAAGTTGTCCCGACCCGTCCCGACCCTTGCAGGGTCAACAAATGACCCGTCCCTAATCTGTCCCTGTAGACAAACTGACCCGTCCCGACCCTTAGGGACGGGTCGGGACGGGTCAGTGGGTCTTCCGGGACAAGCTTTCACCCCTAGGCAGCTTAGTTCATTACGTTGGAGCTTGCAGGCTGTAGAGAGCGGATCCGGTGACTAAGGGGTGCTTAGTCACTTGATTAAACCCCTCCCAGCCCTTAGATATGGACACATCAATCTGATGGTTAAAAAGTGGGAAGGTCTATTTAATTAATGACATGGGTAGTTTTGATATTATGGAAAATTACGAAGTATACAAACCGGACTTAGAATAAGTACAAACCATACAAACATACGAACAATACAAACTAGAGCGACAAAACATACAAACAGATTTACAAACATTACAAACATATGAACTGTACAAACAATACAAACTAGACCGACAAACATTACAAAATAACAAAGCGTACAAACATTACAAAATAAACCGACAAACAATACAAAGCATAGTACAAAATATCTCTCTCTCTCTCTCTCTCGTTAATAAACCGACAAACAATACAAAGCATAGTACAAAATCTCTCTCTCTCTCTCTCTCTCTCTCTCTCTCATGGGACAATTCATTCTTCCCATGTCTCCTGCCCAAAAATGCACAGCAGAGGAGACGCAAGGAAGAAAAAAACCGACGGGATTTTTCCGGCCGGGGAAACGCGGAGCAGTCGGCCAAATTATTTTTTTATTATCTAAATTAATAAATTAAATAATCATGCAGTTACTATATTGTCCTTTATTAAATTGGATTAATATGGGCCATTGGATTTTAATGAGGTGCAAGGGTGGAGATTGACTTAGTCATGTGAGTAAGGGACCCCCCCCCCCCCCCCTTAGTCACCTGATCTTAGCCCCAGGCTGTATCCTCTCTTATGTGTTTGATGTAGTTTTTAACTTTGGGTTAATACTTCTTTTTTAGGATTAATATCTTATTTTAAACCGAACTATACTCACTTAATCAACTTTAGTCAGTGGTTTTATAAATTATTATTCTGGCCTCAATTACAGACCATATAAACTAGTTGGTCGGACGCTTATTTTGACAATAAATTTGGACGATCAACACTATTAACTAACGGTCAACGATCCACCTCATTGCCATGTCAGCCCCAAATTTATAAATTAAAATTATTTTTCATAATTTCTTTATCTAAGAAAATAACTATTGGTAAAAAAATGGGTAAATGTCAAGTTTGGTTACTGAGGTTATTAAAATGTGTCATGTTTAGTCACTAGAAATAATTAATATCGGAAGAATTGAACGCTTGGGATCATATCCGACGCCGCTGCCTTCGCGAGAAGCGGCCATAGCATCAAGCGGAGCTCAGGATTGATGGCTACTGACTCAATTTCGACGGGGCGATCCTGGGCGGATCTATTTGGCATTGCCGAGGAGAATCGCTTTGTGTATGTGGAACCGAAGATAGTGTATGGCGGACTTCGTATCTCTGCAGAGTTGGAGGATGAGGGCATTGCGAGATGGAACCATTGTATGGTCAGCCAATTTCTCTCATCCAGTCTGAGCAGATTGAGCAGGTGCAACCTGCGCAGATTGTGCAGGTGGAGGAGGTGGTAGTTCCTACCTTACAAGCCTCTCCCCTGGCCTCTACTATGGCGGAATCTGGTCTTTAGAGGGTTATAGGGAATCTCGTCTCCTCTATCTTAGTTGGTAATGTTCCTGGTAATTGGCAGGGGTGTCTCCCATCAGAACAAGAATTCCAGCAGGCCGTTGTGGGTTCTAGATCTACTAGGGATATGATTGGCAATCCGTTTAAAGTACTTGACTCCCTGGATCAGTTTGAGGTAGGTGGAATTGCGCTATATCCACTAAAAGACCCTGCTCACTTCCCTGAGCTTGGGAAAGATGGCCTGTAGAAGAAAGGTAAGGGAAAACCTGGTCGGCCACCGAAGGCCAAACATTCTAATAAATTATGAATGTTCTTGTATGGAATATGCGGGGCTTTAACATCTCTGATAAGCAAGATAGTATAGTTGAAGTAATTAGGCAGTATAAGGTGGGTATGGTATGACACGACCCGATTCTTTTTGAAAACCAAACCACAACTCAAACCACAAACCGGTTACTCCGGAGCAACCAAAAACAGGTTTACAAGTCAAAACCAAAAACAACAACCACAATGTTTAAGATTTTCAAGTGAAATGCTCTAAACCCTTGGGCGGCCTCAACCTAGAACAACAAAACATAAACACAACTCTTGAGTTTCCCCAGTATACTCATTAAGACATGAAACTAATGACAAATATAATGGGAGGTCCCATCTCGTTACCCAGATCCAGTGGACATCTTCAGGTTAGCCGCGACTGCTCTCCTCGGATAATCTCCTCTTGATGGATGCGTCCTCTTCCCCTCTATGCACCTGGTGAATGAGAAGGGGCCAGTCTCGTCGTTACTCCCTAAGGTCTTTGCCCTAAGAAGCTCCCTACTAAACACATTATTAGAGTTTGCGTCCTGGCATGAAAGTCGTTCTCGCTTTCTGCTCTTAAATAACCATTCTTATCAACTCATTTCAACATTAACTCCCAAGAGTGCTCGCCTTCTATCCTTAACTCAAACACAAAACACTAGGACCACCGCATTACGTCTCGCCGTCCGGTGTCCTACCCTAGTATGCCAACCGCGTTACGTCTCGTCGTCCGGTTGCATACCCAAACTCGGCAATGGCACTGCGTTACGTCTCGCCGTCCAGTCCATGCCCGTCAACTAATGTGTTACGTCTCTCCGTCCAGTAGTGACCCAACCGCCCGGGGGTTCCTCATACCATCAATCCATACAACATCACATACATTCATACATAGCACAACGCGTGTCTCCCTCCTTACAAGCGGTGGGATGCCTCACACACATATCGCGCATACTAGAAAAAATTAACTAAATAATAACTTGAACGAAAAGCATAAACTAAAAGACATACGACAGAGATTTTACCCCATTTACACTCACCTCAAAAAGATGAATCCTCAACTCCTTCCTCGAAGAACCCCTCCTTAGCCAGATTATCCCAAGACACCTATTAATAAGAAGTTCATACTCTAAGACAACCTTTCTCGGTTTAAAAGCCTCCTTTTTATCTACCCAGACACCCTCTACTCAAAGTCCCATCCTCAAACCTCACTCCAAAGGTCCCTTAACCCCTTTTAAAACTTTTCTATAAATACTCCCTTCAAAACCGACTATTTTCTTAATTATTTTTATCTTGGACGAATTTTCCACCTAACTAAAACCTTCTTATAATTTTGTACAATAATTTTCCCATGTCAATCATGAGCACCTTGATGCTCTAAAACACAACACCTAACAATGGCCAATTGTAACCAATGAAAGGGACTGCAGTATAGTGGCACAAGTAATAAATATCGAATCCACGGGTCTCTAGAGTTACTATTACTCAGCTTCAGTTCATTATCTAGCAAACTAGATTAAGGATTGATTAACTAAACTACTCTACTAACTAAACTAAGTAAAACTACTAATTACAGTTTGGGAACTCACTTAGGTATGATTCCCCCTAGCTCCTCAATTAGGTCCAAGTTGTAATTCCTTTTGGTTGATTTACTGTTGATTAAACTGCGGAAGATCCGACAGTAGCTTGGAATCTCTTAAGCTGACCAAGCCCTCTCAGTCTAACTATCCGGCAGACGACTAGTCTTCACCGGGATAGAAAGCTGAAGCAATAAGCACAGAACTCCACTACTGGAATTGGATTCCAGTACAAAGCAGTAAACTGGCTAACTCTCGTATAGCCAATTTCCTACTACCGAATGATGAGACTCTAGCAACCTAATCAGATTCTATCTATCTCAGATTGCAGCAGGAATCAGGAAAAGTTGATCAGACTTCAATTGACTCAATAAACATGCATCATTCGATTATAATCAAACAATATAGCATCCAAAACTTCATACAAGAAAGATCCTAACTCATGGAACTAGGGTTCCTCAAAACATAAGTGAAGGGAAGTTACTCCATAGAGAAGAGAGAGACTGCAGAAATCTGATCTAGATCTTCAATCTCCATCTCCAAGCTTGATTCCCGAGCTCCAATGGCGAAGAAATTCTCCAAAATAGCTCCAAGAATGTTCCCAAGTCGCTCTCTC